AACTTCTTCAATCAGATAACTGGTGATTGGCTTCTTAGGGACACTAGCTCTGATTATGCAAGATGGCTTTTGACCAGAGTTTCAGAGACGTCGTAATCGTCTATGGTTTCCCGACGACCTCGTTGAGCTCGTACCGCAAATAATGTTCCCGTGGAAAATCTTCTGATATCATCGGTGTAGAAAGCCCGTATCTAATTTTTTTTGATAGAATAGAATATGCTCTTCGATGTGCAATTGACCTGATATGATTTGGTTATGGGAAGGTATAATTAATACTGTTTTGAATGTGAGTAAGAGTGACCACCTTCTTGCCCTCCCCCCTGTAGTCGAGCCGTCCATTCCAAGATGAGAATAAAGTGGGGAGGGGGGGGGGCACTTCATGTTTTTCTTCTACCTCTGAAAATAGGGCAACCAGAGTTTAAAACAACGCAATATATGCATAAGAGTTCGGGCGAATGAAATTCCACGACTATAGGCTGGTGTTTGATTAAGAATATCAAACAGCTCGCAACTCCTCCACAATCTGTGCGGATGCGTGAGGAAAAATGTAGAAAGTCATGAGATCAAGGAGCATCTCCTGGGAAGTCCAGTGGTTTAACAAAAAAGTTTGGCGTTTGAGCAGCTAAATCTCCCAGAACCGACTCGACCATTTGAGCCCAGCTCTCAGAACAGGGAACTATGAATGCCCTAAGAATTCTTTCTTGAAATTTAATGACTTGAGGCTACTGCCAGTGATTCGGGCAAGTCTTCATTACGGTTTTTGCGATAGGATCGTGAGAGCTGAATGTCTGACGGAAGTTCTTCAAGGAAGCTGGGTGGCTCTCGAATCAGATCATATACAATCAGACAGGGTACCAAAAAATGAGTACTTCACTCAGACAGTATCAATCACACTTTGCAAACTCAAACCGACCTTAGCCCCAACCTGTAAAGACACATCCCCAATCAGCAAACATACGGTCTATAAAGAGCTTCCAGTAGTATATGCAAAAATCTGCCATGGACCTTGTGCACAGTTCGAGCTCAGCTGCTCCCGGTTAGTCTAACAACCGTTTACCAGTTATCTCAAACGCTTGGGAGGAGGAATCTCCGCGTAGTCAGAGCAAGCTCTCACTAGGAAGGCAATCCGTCATTCGAGCGACTGAAGAAGATTTGGTAGGCAGCTTAGCTGGAACGATTCCTTTAGCCTGCTTGAGCTCAACGGTGGTGAAGACACATCATATTTAGTCGTGTGAGTGTGCAGTAGAAAGGCCTGCTTCTAATTATGGAGACATCGACGGAGTTTTTTTTGCCCATAGAACTTCATCAACAACGCATCCTGTTGCGATGCAAAAGTTGGATAATGTGCGCCACGGAGCCGTGTCTCTTTTTTACTCCACCTCTGCATCTCCTAACTCCAGATAGACCGGGACAGCAGCTTGTGCAGCAGCATAGGATTTGCAAGGCTTAAAATAAGAGGCAAAAGTCGGCTAATAAGGGGGTATTATGGCGATTGAAAACTGAGCAAGAGATTCGAATTTATGAAAGACGGTGAGAAAAACTGAGAAACCGTCCGACAAGGCTGGTTTGACAAAACCCTCTATCCAGTAGCGTGAAGGAGCGGCTTGGGAGAAAGAGGCGACCAAACAAGTTTGCTGGAGATGTCAGTCGGTTCATTCGCGTTGATACGGCAATCAACCTAAGTGTTTTAACACTTATGCCAGGCCACGCACACTTCCGGAGGTGGGCGCGTCCCGCTTACGAGCGGTCCTGGATTGGAAACCGACGGCCGTCCGGAGGCGTTAACGACGTTTCAAAGGTGGAATTGCCGCAATGTGTTGCAGCTACCCACATACAACCTCTAGGCACGGAATTACTCCTCTTAGCGGCGGGACTGAGCCCGACCTTTTGCTCTTTGAAGCAACAGTCAGCAAGAACTTCGCGCGCAAAAAACACCGATAATTGAAGTTGGGTAGCACAAGTATGACCAATAAATGAAAGATATTTAAAAAAAAAAACGATCGAACAAGGACTTCGACAGGGCTCCCCTTCGGCACTAGCAATGAGGAAGGCGACCTCGTTGGACGAGTTGTATAAAGCATGCCCGCAAGTAAAATGCGCCCAATTTCAATAGCTGGCTACTTGCCAGCTATTGCCAGCTATTGCCAACGGACGACAACATGGTAATCGTTCCATGTTTTGAAGGTAGAAGGTAAAGGCAAAATGTAGAAATTCGCGATGTCGCTACATCGATTCGTCCAATAGGATCGCCTCAAGAATAGGTCAGCGCGTCCGCAACGGACCGCCAATCACTAGCGCTATTCACCAGCAGCCAGGGGCGGATCACGAGCTCGGTGACACCGCCCTTTTGAAGAAGTGTCGGCAGCCCGTTCCCAATGCAGTTTCGAAAGGTAAGTTTTCATTTCAGTGACAGTTTCTATGATTTTTACTTGGGCGGGGCATTGCTCCACACCTCAGGATGAATTGGTTCGAAAACTCCTGGACTGTTGCTTTAAGGATTAGTGAACTCAAACGACCCAAATATGGGCGCGAGTCCTCGCAGGTATACTGCCAAAGCTCGCAGCAGATACTTGGAGCACAGCTGCTACCAGCTGGGATGCTGTAATGTGAACTGTGACCTCTGCCGCAACCAGCAGTACTGCACCTGCTAGCTGAGCGACTAAGCCCGCCCCCCCCTTTAGGCCCCTTCAGAAGAAGCCAGTACATCTGCTAAACTTACCTGAGGCTGCTACTGTCATAATCATGCCTCCAGAAGTTTGCAGTATATGCTGCTAAACTAGATAGACAACCTATATAGAAATAGGTTCCATGATATAGACGCAATGCGGTATGGATCCACTTCCTTCGTGGACAGAATCGGCTCTAACTTGGACAACGGCATTTGTGGCTTGCTAACATCAAACTTTTCTTTCTTTTTCAGAACACCACATTTTCTTTTTTTAGGCTAGTGAAGTGATTGAGCAGCTTTTGAGGAATCAAATGCAAGATATTTCACAAGAAATGACTGAAATTTGGCATATAGTCTACAGCGTTGAACCATCTGGCCTCACCATGGACTTGAGAAGAATAGCGATGAGATCTGACTGTCAAAATGATGGCGATCAGTCCGAAAGTTTTTCGCAGTTATTGGAATGTTTAGCTATTTGACTGTTCCATAGAACTGATGTAACTTGGTCATTTTTTTGGCGAACAATGAAAAAATAATATGATAAAAGAAAAGCAAGTTAAAGACAGTTCTTAATAGGCCACAGTGATTGTTTCAGCGGGAACGTATCCGTGTTGTATGTGTGAACATGGGACATTCCGTGAAGATGTGTAGGATGTCGGACAATACACCGTTCTTCGTCCAAATTATACTTCAAACGAGCCGTACTATCAATGCTCTTACCTTTAACGGTAGGGATTTTGATAGCGAATCCATTTCCACCCATGGGTAATCGTCGAACACTTACCGCCAGCAATAGACATTTTCCTCAGAATCTCCCTTGCTCAAGAGTCACCGTAAATTTCCGAATTCTTAACGGATATCTAGCACATAAAAGAAAGGCTCATCGAATTCTATCACTGAATCATGTACCCTTATACATATTCAATTACTCCGACATCCTAAAGAGAGAGCACACCCATAGGGGCAGGGTTTTTGCCGCAAAGGTCATTCCCCCTTGCATGTTTCTTTGTGTAGTGCAGAGCGGGTGGGTTGTTCTGAGAGCGTCCGATAGCCTTGACTTGAACAAAGGACAGTATCATTCAATGTTTGACATCACTTCTCTTCCATGTTGTGGTGTCTAACTTGAAACTATTAAAACCTTGCTTTATCATGTCTTTCTCTTCTTTAACTCTCGATGATCCTTCTGATTAGAATTTATAATAATTAATTAATTCATGATTAGAAACATTGTTTTGCAATTGAAGGAAAAATTTCTTGAAATCTTAATCTCCTTTGTCAGTCAATTGATGTCTTGAATTGGTTGAAAACCTACTTAATCTAACTCTCAACTTACTACTCGCTCAACCGGAGGTCCATTTCACATTTGCTGCTCTGGTAGAAATGCGTAACAAAGAGATAATTGCACTTTTACATTGCAAATGAATGAAAACGACAAAGAAAAGTTTGTGGGGGGTCGAACACAAATGCGGTCACGGTGTTTGGTAGCTTACCCAGTGTTACATTGTAGAATCCGTAACGCAACCCGGAACTGCAACAAATTTGTTCGCAGCATGTTCTAGTCAAGCGTGGTTGTAAATTTCTAGTCTCATTCCCTCGATTTCTTCTATATTTCTGCATTAACACCTTATAACAGACTGGGCGAGAGGTATGATGAGGAGGTGAAGACGCTGTCTCAAGATGTGTGCAAATTGTAAATTCACTCGAATCATCATTTCTTCATCTATGGACAAATACACTAACCCCCTATCGCTGCATTTATAGCCCGCGACCCTTCGTCCCCCTTTTGGCAACGCCGGGTCCTTCATTCACCGCACTAGCTACGTCTAGAAGGGATTATCCGACTGCAAACCTTGATTTTCTGGCTCTCCTTCAGCATTGACAGTTTTGCATCTTTTATAGTCTACTAATGCGTAAAAATATATGTGACTTCTAAAAATTTCTTTGCAGGAATCCCAAAAACAAACGGATTTCAACAAGCGGCAAGATATCTCCAAATGACGTAAACAACGTCTTCCATAGAAGATTGTTTTAAACTCTTGGAAAAGCCATTTATTACTTTTGAAATTCTTTGTAAAAAGTTTTTGAGGTTTGGTCGAAAAACATCTATTGGAACTTCAACATGTTTCCTACGCATCTTAGTTTCAGCATGAAACTTCGAGCGAACAATATTTAAGTTTTTACAGTATTTGCTACGCATTTCTAGTCCTCTTTCCATGAGTTTTCTAGCCTATTCATTTCCAGAATGCGTTGCTCAGGTTGCTCGTAGCTGTCCTGCTGATCGTACAATCGTGCATCGGGCTCGTTCGAAGCCATGAAGAAAGTAGCTCTAGGTATGGTATGAGGATTTATGGTTTCAACAAATACCGCGGATTAATTTTCAAAGGCACTTTTTCGCATCAAAGGGGTACTACCTTTGCACAGAAGATGAACGTATTAGACTGGGACGGAAACCGGCCAGTGGAAAAATGAAAAATGCTGCAAATCTCGATTGAGGGCTTGCTCACCTCGCACGCGGGCCAACTTAAGGAGGCCAACGGCAGAGACCTTTGCGCGAAAAGGGTATCCACGATATAGCATAGCCCTTCCCGGTGACGTGTATCGGCCGCGCTACGCTCACCGACTTTCGGCCGCAGTCGTCACAGGTCTTCGCATACTAGCAGAGGAACCTAGTGAACCCGAGTGAGATGCAGCCTCGCATGCTCCCTCGCATCTTTTGCGGTAACGAGGCTACAAGAGGATTCCACTTTTTAGTGCTGAGTCGATTTCTCATGATTTTTCCTTCACCCGCGTACCGATCGATTCCTCTAACCAATTTTAATGGGGTCTCTATCCGTAATTTCCGCTAATATCACCTTGAAACACTGCAAATCATCTGTTTCAGCTTAAAGCACCGGTTTTATAATAACACCTGTTCAAAATTCTTTTAAGTTCCCCCCATTGTACTGGGAAAATGATGTGAATTGGAGTTCGGTAGAGAACGTGAGACACAACGACAAACAAACACGCGTGTTCCTTTTACTTTCGTTGTTCCTTTTGTTCCAAACTAATCTTTTGTCTGCCTGAAGCGCACAAAGCCGCAAAATTTAATTGAGGCAAACCTTCTATCTGTGGATTCGGAGCACGATGTCCGGACATTCGATAAGAGAGGCCCGTCGCGCGTGCACGAACGGCAGAGATAAACCAGAGAATCGCACCGCCGTTCTGTTAGGATTTGTGCGGTCAACTTCAATAGAAGAGTACGCCGTGGATCTAACAGCACGGCGCTGCGATCGTCCCTCGCAGATGAAGGACGTGAATGGGACAGGACGCGGCCCCTGGTCTGGGTTATCCCTTGTGGGGAGGTATGCGACCTCGCTCATCTGTGCACCCCTTTTACCATTGCCGTTATTGCGTAAACGATCTGCATCCTCTTTTCTTCTATATCTCCCTGCGCTTGGAGGTTGCTCTTCTGTGCTTTAAAACGGTGAACGCGATATCTGGATAGTAGAGGTTTTTTGATAACGTTATCAGGCTGTCATTGGTGGAAACTTTGGGAGGTGATCCCAACCACATCCCTTATTTTGGTGACGTTATTATATCTCATTGGTAGACTTCTCAGCGCACTGTCGGACACCAAAAATTGGGAGTTTGTTTTTCGCTCTTTCGGCAAACATTTTTTCATCAAGTTTCAAAGCCATTGGCGCATCCTGCTTTATTTGGAATCCATAACTTCGCTTTTGCTAGTGCGCTATGATCCTTTTTGACCGAGTCCCGTCTTAGCTTTCACGGGCTTCGAGTTGGCGAGCTGTTAGGGTTCCTGCGCGCATAGTGGCATGGATTTGCTTCGAGTTCTACCAAATGTGGGCAAAATGCGGGCCCTCTAACATATTATGCACGCTCTTTCAAGCACATCCGAAGGTGAGCCAGATAGCTCAGAATGGAGAGGAACGTCTCAATTCTATCACTGTTCTGAGAGGAAGTTTGAAGCATGAATAACCGAGAGGAAACAAAAAACTTAATACGCAATACTGAATAGGCTTAGCTAAATGCGCATCTAGTGTATCATTTTGTCGTCACGATACTAAAGGCAGTCTCATTTCTACCATTCATCGTAAATCGAGCAGAACTACGTACTGTAAGTGGGATGGAAATGTGTGCCGCACGTGAATCCTCCTTCCTCTGCTTCGTATTTAATCACTCGAACAGAAGAGTGCACCTTAAAGAACTCATTTTTTGGCGCTGTCATGCCAGACTTAGTGATGAAAGGGTTTGGTGCACATGTTGCAATAACACCGAAATATACACAACTTTTCAGATCCCTTCGCCGTCCTTGATATTGCAGCCACCGCTGATGGCTCTACCTGATATGACCAATGCTCGACCAATGGCAGGCCCACCAGGTGACACTTTGAAATAGCAGATTTTTTGTGAAAATGAATGTTTCTCTCGAAAGCACTCATTTAGGATTTGCCCCACCCAAAAACTTCGATAAACAGTTGCGGACTGACGAAAGCATGGGTGTAAGTTGTTGTTGTTGCAGATTTGTTCATGTATACTTCAATTGATGAAAGAATGCTCTTTCAGTTCGTCGTGAGGCGAGGAACAGCGAAAATCATGGGATTTTCTCGAAGAAAACCTGCTCAGGAGCAGAATAGGAGGAGACGATAATGATTCAGTTATTCAGATTCTTGATAAAAATATATTTCTCGAGTTCGATGGGAAAGTTTTCCAGAAGAATGACCGGGATAGATTTTACTATGTATATGGACTTCAAAGGCTGCGTCCATAAAAACGCTTGCAGCCTGCTTCAGTGCTTCACTGCTTAACTTTCTCCGAACTGCTAGCAAGCCTGCTCTGAGGTCACATTCGGCGATTGAGAGCATCTGAGTCGGTTGCCGTGTTGGAAAAGGCTGCCTGCAAGGGCAAGCATGTGCCGTCCTAATGTTCGAAAGGGTTTAGGAAAGAACGCACGGTCTTCTTCTAGTTGCTGCC